GCATTTCTGCCCTTTTGACAAGTAGATTCGAACACGCCTATGAGGGTATAAGGTCTCTTGCCTGAACACCCCGAGGCGTTTCGACTCGAAGTTTTTCGGCCGTTATCGCAATGATAAATCCAAAACTAACGTTCCCGCCATCTTAAAGCACGATGGCACCTTAACGACAGATGACCAAGAGATTACCCAGGTTTTCTTTCGGCATTTTTCCCAGTTCTTCGCTCCCACTCGTGTTGACTCATCCCAATGGGAAGACATGACAAGAGCAATTCCTAAAGCTACTCTTCACCCTTTCCCGCATCTGTTTTCACAGGATTCAGTGAAATCTGCAATTTCTGCAATGCATGCAGGCAGATCTCCTGGTCCTGACAACTTGCCAGCTAAGTTCTATAGAGTTTTTTTCCGATAAATTGTCCTCCCTTCTCCCGATGGTTTATAACTCTCTGTCTCCCAATGACCCTAGTATTTCAAAATTCAACTTGGGTCAGCTCTCCGTACTACCCAAGTCTGACAACTGCACTACTGTCCATAACTTTCGGCCATTAACGCTTACCAACGTAGACTATAAGATCTACGCGCGTGTTATTTATAACAAAATTGGTTTTGCCCTTACCCCTAGTATCGTTTGTACTCAAACAGGAGGTATTCCTAATCGTTGTATTTTAGATAATCTAAGCTTCATTAGGTTACTTAGTGCATACTGCTCAAACAGGAAATGGCCACTTGCTCTGCTATCGATTGACCAATCGAAAGCATTTGACCGTGTTGATCACGGTTTCCTTTGGCATGTTATCAAAAAGTATGGTTTACCTGACGAGGTACTTTCGGCCATCAAAATTATGTATAGTAAGGCTCATTGCTGCATTAATATCAATGGACATCTCTCTGACCCCTTCCCGCTCGGAAAGGGAGTTAGACAGGGATGTCCTCTATCTATGTTTCTTTTCTCCCTGAGTATCAACACCCTCTTGGGCGAGATACGAAGGGACTTTAGTATCTCAGGCTACCCTATGCCTGGGTACTACAAAGCAGACTACTATAAGTTCGTAGCCCACGCGGATGATGTCACATTCTTTGTGAAAGACAACTGGGCTATCTCCAGAATTTTTGGCCACTTTGACAAATATTGTCAGGCCTCTGGAGCTGTCATTAACAAGGGGAAATCTTCTTTTCTGCCCCTTGTTGGTTCCATCTCTCTCCCTGTGCCCTTCTCTGACATCCCTGTGAGCAACAGGGTTAAGATTTTAGGTTTGTACTTTGGCGCCGACTCGGCCAAACATAACCTAAAGGAGATTAATGTTAAAATTGGGGACAAAATCTCCATTTGGTCGGGAAGCTATCTCTACTTTCCAAGTAGGATAGCTGTCTACAAAAACATTATGTTTGGTATTTGTGTGTACTATGCCTCTGTTTTTCGGCCTGGATGCAGGCTTCAGGCATATTAATAGACTCCTTTTCCGTTTTGTTTGGGGCAACAAGCCTGAATGGGTTAATAGGAATATTATGTATAATACTAGAGCAAACGGTGGATGGGCTATGTTCGAGCCCTCCCTCTTCTCTGCTGCTGCCCAAATTAGGCAGCTTGTCCTTGCCCTTAACGCCCGCGATCACCCGGTTAGTAAGCTGTACAGCTTCTTTCTGGGGTATCACCTTAAGTTACTTTTACCTGATTACAAGGTAAACCTTATGCCCAAAGTGTTGGATCCACCACCCTTTGTGAAAGTATGGTGCACGCACCTACTCAGTCTCTCCCAATCTGGGAATATTCCTTCTGTTAAAACTAAGGCTAGAGAAATTTATCGCCACCTTAGGCCCGATACCTCGCTATCCCTCTGTCCGTTAAACACTCAGGCCACTATCGATTGGGCCACTGTTTGGCGCAGATGTTTTGATGGGCTTATTCCCGAACACTGCGTTGAACTCCAGTGGAGGTTGTTGCATAATGCACTTAATAATAACTCTCCACAAAAGTCAAGCTCCAGTCTATCAAAGTTTATGTGATGAGTGAAAACTGTCCGATGTGCAACTCTTCGCCAGAATCGGCTGCACACCTCTTTTATTTCTGTAGGGTTGCAAGGAAGATCTGGGGCTGGATTACTCCCCTCCTTGGTCTGCCCTTTCTGTCACGTGAAAACGTAATTCTTCATATTCTCCTCAACAAAGGAACTGTATCTCCCTACGTGATTAGTCTCCTTATTCATACGACTAAACACGAGATATGGTTGGCCAGGTGTAGGAGGGTTTTCGAGCACAAATACACCACCCACCGCCTCTTTCGTATTAAAATCCGGGAAGCTTTAGCTCGGAAGCTCCTCTCGGACTTTCAGTCTCTCTTTATTTATTATTATTATCTAAACGTCTACATAATGGCCATATACTGCCTGATCTTTTGCTCCCGTACGATCTATTTAATCGTCGCGACACAGCTGGGAAAACGCCCTATACTGCATCGAAATTTAACGTATAAAACCGACAATTGCTAAATATTGCATGGATTGTTTCTGCGCGACCGGTAACAACGCCGCCGCCGCCGCCATCATCCGAATCGAACCGGCGAATCCCGATTCGACGACATGTTCATTGTAGAGACGTTATTTCACCTCAACGTGCAAATATTTCAACCTTTTCGGCCTCATCGATGACTTTTATATTATTAATTTAACAGCAACATCACTGGTTTTACTGAAAGAATGTTCAGAAGATCGTTTTGGCGAATACGCTAATGGCGGCTAGTGCCAAGTTGCACGAGTTGCATTATCAGTAAGGTTTCGACAGATTCGTTCCTACTTGTACTGACATCGACCGCCGATTTTTTTAAAGGATTACGTATACCAAATGTGTAGGTGCCTTGTACGACGTAAGCCTCGAATAACGGAATAATAACGGAATAACTCGAATCTAATGGCGTTTGAATTTGTCGTATCTCACTGTAACTTATCGAGTTATTGCAATCTTTAAGAGTGAAAATTCCATTATTTGTTACTATCGTTATTTTTAAATTATTTCGTTATTGTCGCATTTAAATTTTACACTTATATATACATCTAGAATTTTTTCGCATATTCTAGTGCAGAATCGTTTAACGTACGATCGTTTAACGACGATATTATACAATACTTTGTTGTTTTTTTCCGTTAAATGTTTAAAAATATATACATTCAGTCAATGTAGCGTTCTACAGATTGCGACGCTGGTGTTTATATTTTACCGTTTATTAATGTACCAGGTCTCGTATTCGATCCAATTCGAACGAATGTTGTCGCCTGTAAAAAACAAAATTGCTATTCCCCCAAGTACACGTAAAATATTATTGATCTTACGCAAATCGTGCGTAGTAATATCAGCCGGTTTACGTTGGAATTCGACAACGAACCATTTGAAACCGAAATGCGCCGTATCTCATCCATTCGGTTCGGCGAAAATGCAAATTACATTGTCCTTAGCATTCCGATTACGGGCGTATCTTCGACGACGTTGCCGTATAAAGGTCGGACGATTCCCGAGCACGCATCGAGCGTTTTTCCTCGCCTATGTGCTTTACTCGTAGACCAATGAATCGTTATCGTCGTACTGCAGTTTCGGACGACGTAAGTATCAATTTACATTTCTTACTCAATATTACGCAATTGTTTGTTTTTTTCTCGTAAATGTTCGTGTATCACCGCGATATTCGAACACGCGCAACGCTAATACAGTTAATACAGAGTTTTCGTTTGCGCCCGCAGCCTGCTTCAGAGGTTCCTGACACGTTTTCGTTCAGAAAATGGATGAGATTCAGTTATTACTTGAGCCGCGGAGGCTTCTTCGAAGCCATGTCGACAGGTTTGTTAATGCTAAATAACGTTCATTTCTCGTTTATTCTGCGTTTGTTTCCGCAGAATTCTCGCATTCATTCCGACAACAAAAACTTTTTTTGCCGCAGGTTCATCAGACAACAGTTGGGAGCAGATGATCTTCTGGAAGAGCTGGAAGAGGCGAACAGGACTATCGCCCAACTGAAGCTGGAGCTGGACGATCTTCGTGCAAAAGTAAGTGCGTTTATAAAATCCTTCGATTATACCTTACTGCGTTTATTAAGTTTTTCTTATTATTATAAATTAAAAATTTTTTTTCCTTCCGCACAGCGAAAACAGCCGGACATAGATGTCGAACAGACAGATAGTACAAAGCCCGTATTAAAATATAAAAATAAGTACTAAGCAGTCACATATGATGTAAATTATTCGTTAAATCAATACTTAACACGAACGTCCGTAAAGTTGTTGTTTCTGAAAATATCTGTTGTAAAATTTTGTTTTTCACTGTCAGTTCATTACAAATAAATGTCGATACGTTAACTTTTCTGTCTAGTTAATTCGGTCAGGAGAAAGACTAGTTATCGTTGGGACGCGAATCGTATTTCGTGCGTACTACGTACTGCAAAAATATTAAAAATTTAAAAAATAATAAAAAATAAATAATAAAAAAAATAAAATAGTAGAAAAACCGATCGGATAACGTCAATATGGGGGGGCCTAAGCAATTGTCGGTGTTATCCGATATATACTTTATTATTATTATTATTATTACCGTTAATCGAACTTATCGTATTACAATGTCTCGTAGTTGGCAAACATTACGATCATTTATTTTCATTTCACGTATTTTTTTGTATTCCATCGATTACATATTATTTCAACAATTTACATACATTTTTTTACTTTTATCACTACTAATCGTCACATTAATTGTAATAACAATAATGCGATACTGGCGACTAACTAGTTTAGACTCGCTAATGAAAGATCAATTGCAGTGAATGTCCTTGTTGGGGCGTGGAAGTATGTCACTTCTCCAGTATTAAATAAATATATTTCCTGATTGCCGATAAATCTCTCAATGGCTCTGCCTCGACGATTGATGTCGGGACTGCCCCACATAGGATTCTGGCCATTGAAATCACCCAGTAAAAGGAATGGAGTTGGCAGCTGTTCAACTAATAAATCCAATTCATCCTCATTGACTCTGACATCTGGTGGCAAGTATATAGAACAAACTGTGACAGTTACTCCAATAGATATTCTGGCTGCCACAGCTTGCAAATCAGTGGTTATTTGTACTGGCAAGGATGGGATGTGATTGGAAACCAAAATAGCCACACCTCCACTGGCATGGTTGTGGCTATCATCATCCTTGCGGTAGAGATCAAATCCTTTTAAAGTAATTCCCTCTCTAGGTTTCAGATGAGTCTCCTGGAGTGCCACGCAGAGAGATGAGGTAGATGATGTCAAGTGTTTAATGTCAGAGAAGTTGTTGCGAAAACCACGACAGTTCCATTGGATTATTTTATAATCCATTATGTGTTTGAGGCAGCATTCTTAGAAAAAGTGTCCCTCTTCAGTTTAACTGATGATTTTCCTTTTGGAGGTGACGTTGGTTGGGTTACCTCCATATTATTCTCTTCATCAGAGATATCAGAGAACTCACTCATGGACTGAGCCTCTGATTTTTTAGATTTAGAGAGAGCTGCTTTCACTCTCTGTTTGTTTAGTGGGTTCTTATTAGCCTTTTTAGAACCCAGGTTTCTTGTAATTACCCCTGTTTTAGGCAGGGGTGTTTTTCCTTTTGTGATCTCCTTTTCTGGTGTTTGTGTAGACGGGAGTATTAAACATTTCGCATGGCGAGTAAGAGATTCGCTTGGGGAGACAGAGATATCAGTTTGAACCCCACATGACATTGTGGATTTCAACACAGAAGCAAATGTTTTCTGTTTCACTACTGTGCTTTGAGTGACCATTCGCCGAGCCTCCGGGTATGGTATGTTGTTAATGGTTTTTACTCGCTGGATTTCTTTCTCTCTCTGCCATGCTAGGCATTTTCGAGAGTAGGCAGGATGGGCATCTTTGCAATTCACACAGCACGGAGTAGTGGTACACTCAGTACTCTCGTGACCTTCAGTTCCGCACTGTGCGCATATGCTTTTCCCTCGGCACGATGTTTGTGAATGTCCAAATCGCTGGCATTTAAAGCAACGCAGCGGATTTGGAACATATGGGCGAACTGGGCAGCGCAGATAACCTGCTGTAATAACAGATGGCAAAGTCGGTTTATTAAATGTCAAAATAAGGTGTTTGGTGGGAATCAACTTGCCATCTCGACGAATGGAAATGCGTCGGACAGCAGTGACACCTTGGTCTGAAAGGCCAATCTGAATATCTGATTCATCTTCAGATATCAGATCGATCTCAGATATTACCCCACGTGATGAGTTTAGGCTCACATGTGGGGTGACAGTGACTTCCATTTCTCCTAGGGTCTTTGTTTCCAGAAGTTTTGCCGATTGTTGTGGGGAAGCTGTTTCCACCAGTAAATCTCCAGATCTTAATTTTTGTATTTTTTTCAACTGTCCAATGGTCGATTCAAACAATTTTTGAATCAAGAAAGGAGAAGCTTTAGCCGAGGGTTTTTCTCCGGTTGCGTGCACTACTAAGTACGCTGGATTAGTGGAGATTTTTTTGTTTGTTTTTGTTGTTGGTGCACAAGAACTTTTTGAATTTTTTGAATCCATAATTAGGGAAAGAATTCAGCTCCTAGTGACCCCACCCACCATGGGGCATAACAAGGGGATGCTGTCACATGGAGTACTTCAATAGACCGTCACACCAGGGTTTCCCAGGAGCTATACCCTCACCATGCAGTCAAGAAGAGCACATCTAGACTGACATGTCCGCCCGATCTGCATCGATCGGTTGACTCCAAGCCAAGGTCAAGAATGACTCAACGACGAGCCGATTGACTCAAACGGAGCCTGATTTGAGCCTCCCGTTTATCCGAAGCAGGGGCCGAAGCAGTGTGTTGGGGACGCTATGTTGCCCCTCAACTACCAGGATCCCCCTTTCCGGCATACGGGACTCCACGCACGGCAAACACGTGGGTGGGCGTTCAGATCCCAGGGATGGTAAAGAAGAGTTACTAAACCATCTCTGGGAGGTCCCCTCACCACAGACAGGAACCCATATCGAGGGGCAACGCCTCTACAGAGTGAACAAGAGTAAAGCCTTTGGAGAGATCACCCAAGGCACAGAGCACTTCTGCCAAATAGGTAAGGCAGCACTAACTGAACATTTCTCTAAAGTATATAGCCGCTGCACCAACACAATGCCGCCAGATGACCAGCTCCCGCACCGTTGAGGCCAACAACTGACGATCCACTCAACACCATCTTTACCCCTGAAGAAGTCGTCGACAAGCTTGCCAAATGCCATAATATGGCTCCCGGCCCTGACGGTGTCTGGTACTACATCTGCGTCGCCTCCACCCGCAGGGCCACATCCTGGCAGCACTCTTCAATGCTGTCCAACGCATTGGAGTGATCCCCAACAACTGGAGGACATCCACCACTATACTCATCTACAAGAAGGGTGAACGAAGCAAAGCCAACAACTGGAGACCCATTGCACTAGCTAATACGCTTGGGAAGTTATACTCTGCCTGCATCACCAACCGCCTCCTGCGTTGGTGCGAGCAGAATAACACCATTTCCACCGCGCAGAAGGCTTTTATGAGGTTGACGGATGCTCAGAGCATACTTTTATGCTCCAGTCTGTGATCCAGGATGCTAGGCGAAGGAACAAAGAGTGCCACGTCGCCTGGTTAGACCTGGCAAATGCTTTCGTATCAGTCCCCCACTCCACCATCATCAAGTGCCTCCAATGGTAGGACGGCCAAGCTAGCTTCGCCAGTGGTAACACCGGTAAACTTTAATTAAAAGCAACAGTCTATGGCTAAGATCAAATGTGTATTGCTTGACTGGCAACACTTTCCTATCCGCGCCAATCCTGGTAGCTATTCGGTGCTCAGCGTGAGCATCCTTTCATTAGCGTATAGTCACCTATACGCTACTTTCTTCCTCTTCCCGCCCCTCCTTGGTCGGCTGCGTTGCACCCCAGAGGGCGTTTCCGGCCTTTCCTACTTATTTCACTACACATTTGGTCTGCAATGCCAACCACCACGGTCCTTGTGCCACTCCAACCGCCGCACGGTTGCCAACTTTGCCTACCAATTCCACGTGACTACATCGATCACACTGGGTTGGTTAGGCACCTCAAACGTGAACATAACACTAACCTGCATTTTGAGTGCCGTGCCTGCGGTATCATCATGGATAAGCTCAAATCCCTAAAGGCACACCAGCGTACAGCTGAATCATGCCGTGCCACCATCGAGGCTTGCTCACCACCTCCTCCTCCTCCTCCGGCTGATCGACAGGTGATGCGGATCCCTCTCAGACCAAGGAAGACCTACAACAGGAGAAACCGAAGTCGAACCGTCACCTCACCTACTGCCGCCAGAGATCAATCCTCCTGCTCCACTGCAGGTTCTACTCCACCTACTGGCAAAGCTGTTTCTGTAATTTGCAATGACACTGTTGTTGTAATGAAGGAATATAATTTACGTCGACATTATGAAACAAAACATGCTTCAACATACTCACAATTTAAGGACAAGCAGCGTACTGAAAAATTTGAAACAATGAGTCGTAGTTTGTGTACTCAGCAAAATTTATTTAGGAAGGCAAACTCAGAAAATGAATCATTGACCTTAGTTAGCTTGAAAGTTGCTTATTTGTTGGCGAAATAAGGAAAACCCTTTATGGATGGTAACATCGTTAAAAAGAGTGTATGATGGAAGCTGTTGGTGAGTTGTGCCCAAAAAAGTTGCAACTTTTCAAAATGATCAGTCTGTCCTGTAACACTGTTGCTCGTCGAATTGACGATATTGGAAACAATATTCTTCACCAGATTACTGGTAAAGTACAGCGTTTCACTCGGTATTCTCTCGCGATGGATGAATCAACTGATGTTAGTGACACCTCACAACTTTTAGTTCTGTTCGTGGAGTTGACGACGAACTGAATGTCACACAAGAATTAGCCTCCGTTAACAGCATGCACAGCACTACAATTGGAGAAGATATCTTCAAAGAAGTACAAAAAACGTTGACAAAGTATAACTTGAACTGGAATCGACTCCGAGGTGTAACAATTGATGGAGGAAGAAACATTTCTGGTGCAAAGAACGGTGTGGTTGGACAAATTAGAAAAGCTTGTGAAGGTGCAGGAGCATCAGCACCAATTTTTCTGCACTGTATTATCCATCAACAAGCACTATGTGTGAAACATGTCAATATGAGCTACGTTTTAAAACCAGTTGTTTCTGTCGTAAATTTTATTCAATCACATGCACCCAATCATCGCCAATTTCGATCTTTTCTCGAACAAATTGAATCCGAGACTGTTGACTTGTCGTATTATACCGCAGTTCGATGGCTTAGCTGTGGAAAAGTGCTATTACAGTTCTTTAAGCTTAGATATGAAATTAATTTATTTCTTGCGGAGAAAAATCACCCTGAACCACTTTTATCAAATGCTGAGTGGCTCTGGAAGTTGGCGTTTTTGCAGATGTTGTGACGCGAGTAAATAACTTGAACTTAAAGCTCCAAGGTAAAAACAACTTAATTTGTGATTTATTCGCACAAATCAAAGCATTCAGGGCAAAGCTGGTACTGCTCGAAAGTCAGATAGATGAATGTAATTTTACCCATTTCCCGTGCTGTGAAGAATTAAATACAGAAATCGATGAACAATTTCCAACCACATTTGCAATAAAAGTCATTGCGATTTAAAACAAGAATTTCAAAAGCGATTTTCTGATCTTGACAGGAATTCAAAGGAAATTCGGCTGTTTCAAAATTCATTTGACTGCAATGTTGCAGACGTTTCAAGTCAGTTTCAAATGGAAATTATTGATCTTCAAGCTAACGATCAAATCAAGGATAAATACAAGGAAGGAAACTTGGTCGATTTTTACAAATTTTTGAATGAAAAAGAGTTTCCAAATTTAAAGCAATTTGCTTGAAAATTTATTTCTATGTTTGGGACTACCTATATGTGCGAACAAACTTTTTCCAGTATGAAGTAACTGAAATCTAAGTACAGGACAAATTTATCAGATGATCATTTGCAATCATTGCTTATAATTGGTGTTTCAGACTTTAATCCCAACTTGAAAGAAATTCTTAAGCAAAAAACACAGTTTCATCATTCCAATTAAAAGTTGCATGAAATAATTTTCTAATTATGTATAATTTAGCCATGCTTGTTTAGTATTGGTGTATCTGTAATTAACTGTAAAAAATAAAATTTAATGCTGCCTTAGTCATAATGAGACTTTTTAATTCACATAGTAACATGGCCTGCTGCAAATGTATTTAATTCCCAATCTGGCCCTTGCGTCAAAAAATTTGGACACCTCTGGTCTAAGGGAAACAAAAAGTTTCATTGAGAGACAACTGTTTGACTGCAAAATCAGGCCCATTCAGAATGAAAACTATCAATGGCCTTGCGGCAGCAGGACCCTTGTGGATAATAAAAGTATTTACAAGGCCCTTGCAAAATTTGCTCATGGCATAAACAAATTGAACTAACTCTGCCCTGCTCTCCCCAAGGTCTGTATAAGGTCAGGATAAGCTCCCGTGATTCTATGCAGCAGCGGCCTTTTTAGACTAATCGATAGAGCTCACCGCACATGGTTCCTGTGTGAGTCGACCTATTATTACGTATATACGTACTCAAAACATTAAGCAATGGGTTATTGTATAGCACCTAATTGTAAAAGTAAGTCTACCGACATTCGATTCTTTAGATTTCCTGCAGATAAGCAGAGGAGAGCAAAATGGGTGCAGAACTGCAGACGAAATAAGTGGCAGCCAACTGAACATTCTAAACTGTGTGATGTTAGAGTATATCACGTATTTTTCTTTAGTTACTGTCTTTAAGAAATATACGTGAGCTAGCATTAAATTATTTGTTGTTCAGCTTCATTTCAAAGAATCGCAGTTTGAACTGAAAAGAGCTGACCGAAGGGAGCTGGTAAAATGAAATACGGTTCCCACAATTTTCAATTTGCCCAACCTCGTAAACCTATTATGATAAGGAGGCCTATTAGGAAAAGAAAACTTCCTGAAAAAAGAAAAACCAATAATAAGATTATTTAATTGCTGAACTAGTTCTTTTTTTCATCTGAAATAAAGATGACTGTTTTGTTTGAGTATTCTCTGCGTTTTATAAATTGGCTGTTATCAAAATCTTGTATGTTCAATTCTGTCTATTTTTGCAATAAATGTTATATAGTACGAAACAATTATTTTAACATGTTTTGACTTATATTTTTATATAGCTCTAGTGGAGTCTTCCGTCAACCTTCCCGTGACAGAAAAAACAGCTGAAGAAAGTGATGAAATACTTCAGATAAACTAAATGAAAAACTTTAGTTAGAAAACAAAAGACTACAACTGCAGGTAAATCTTTCATTTACATTTAAAACAATTTTAGACCCACTTCTATTTTGTAATGTGATGTGGTGGTGTGGAAAACAAAAAAAAAATGACAAAGAAGCAACTATAAATTAAACAGGATATTTATTTAACTACAGCTACGTAGTCCTTCGTACACCTGGTTCATTTACACTAAACACACTTGATCCCAAACTATAGTATGCGCACAAGTTCAAATCCGTCCGACAAAATTCTATGTTTTCACAAGCAGAAGACACATGCTCGCGACAATAAAAATTATGGTTTGAGATACTACAACTAACTTAAATCTACCTTAATCTAACTTATATGCTAAGGAAGACGGGTGAAGAAATTAAGAAATATGAAGAGAAGAGACAAGTATAAAGGACAGATTTTGTGGGTACCCGGGTAAATTTGGCAGTCTCCAATCTTCTCTATATCGGTACTTGAATCAATTTCCTTCCTCTCATTTCTGTCTCTTGAGATTTCGAATGCGTTTTTGAAGTCTTAATCTGGGTGTCCTTCTAATTTCCATCCGTTCGCAGACCACTTCCAAGCCTTCTCTTTTTGTCCCACTAGGCGACAAACCTCTAGCTTGCTCTTTCCTACGTCTGCACACCTCAGACGCTGACCCCAAAAGTGTCTTGTTCGTTTTCCTGATGGCCTCAGGGCTTCTTAATGTCCTCTTTGTCTTCTCCCTTTGTCCTTGGACAAAGGTCCCCCACCCATAAAAAAAAATAGGTTAGAAAGTTCTAGAAACACGTTAAAGACAAAGGAATTTAGGAAAAATAAAACTTATATCTACCCCTATTTACAAAGACATGGCGTACCGCCACAGTGAAACATGGAGTGATATCTTATATTATGAATCTGAATTCTGATGTTTGAGTAGAAAACTGACTATACTTTTATGTAATGAAAACAATAAAAAAATCAGCAATATTATTTAACTTATATATAAGATAACAGAAAACATTATTGTCTAACTGTAGCTGTATAAGATTTCAAAGATACTATATATATATATATAATCTACTTTTTTAAATTTTAGATACAAAAACTCACTAAAAGGCAAAAAGCGATGGAAAATAAATTAAATTTATTTCTGATACAGGAACAAATTCAATGTTTGCAGAGAGTATCTGTAACGAACCCATATACTTGGACGAATAAAACAATCAAACAAGCAGTGCAAATAAAATGTGCAGCGGGCAACAAGGGTTATGAATTCCTTCGAAGCAAGAATTTTCCTTTGCCTTCTTCAAAAACTTTTGTGGCCATATGCCTTATTTTATGTATATATTTTATTTGTATTTCTTTCGTTTCCTTTCTTTTTCTTTCTTCCTTTGTCTATCACCTTCTAGAAAATTCTTCCCTAATCCTTTCCTGGTAAGGGTGGTGACCTACTTTCAAAAACAAAGAAGAGACGGTAGCCTGAGGGCTAAAAGGGGAACTCGAACTCACTTTCTGGCTCAGACGTTGTAGAACTAAGACGTGCGAAGAAGACCTCCCGGTTGTTTTGTCAGCAACGGTAGGACAATGAAGACGAGAAGTTAGCGATCAAGGAGTCAGAACATATACATCGGTATAAGAATCTACAAAAGCTTGATAGAAAGCCTGGGTCATTTTTTTCGACTTACTGTCTGCAAGATTTCACCATTAGGCCATCACCACCAGCAGTCCAAGATCATCGGCACTGGGTACCCATTCTTTCCTATTATATCTATCCTATTGTCTATCTTTTCTTCCTCCTTTTTTTTTAGTGTAAGTAGTTTTTAAGTATTAGTCATAGTTTCACTTTTTGTTTTGTACCGCGGTAAAATATTTTGTTACAAGAGAAAAACTTAACTTCCGAAATTGTAAAAATTATCAATATAAGGAGCGTCGGAATCTTTAAAAGAATCCTGTAAAAAGGAGGGAAATAAACACTGGTGAAAAGGGAATATTTATGTGTATTGTTTTCTTAACTTCTACCTGGAAGTGTAATCACCACGTGCATATCTTACACTTTAAACAGAAGGATTGAATCATGCAAATTTTCTCAAGGAATTCAGTACGACATTATTGAGTGGTTAGGAGTTAAACTACGGTCAGCTGATGAACAAGGCAAACTTTGTGTACTGTCATTAGATGAAATGCAGTTACAGCCACATATTGAATACGATAAAGGCTTGAAGAGATATGTTGGGTTAGTAAGTAAAGATTTTCCTGATTCTGATGAACCTGTAGTTGCAACAACACATGCTCTTGTTTTTATTGCAAGAGTCTTAACTTTGCACTAGAAAGAAGTTGTGGCATATGTTAACAGGCAATTCAATTCTCACAAATTATGGAATTTTGTGAAAAATGTAATAGAAAGTTTCTATTTACAAATACTTCTTGTAAAATGTGTAACCAGTGACGAGTTCTAAAAACACTGGTATATGGGGAGGGGTTATTGAAATCCATTCTATTAGAAATCATGTTAATTGTAAAATTGTGCATCCTTGTACCCAAGAAGAAAATGTATATTTTGTAGCAGATGTCCCTCACATACTAAAAAATATAAGAAATTGTTTGTTAGCCCAAAACATTTCTTTACCTGATGAAGTTGTATCAGAACAAAGATTAAAGTCAGGAATAGTTTCAATGAAACATATTGAATGTTTAATAAAACAACAAGGATGCAGGCCTATTGTAGCTCCTAAATTATCAAGGAAGACAATTTATTTATTATTGCGCATACTAAATACACTCCTTCGTGCGGGGAGCAAAACTATCTCCCAAAAAAGCACTTATATACAATCAGCATAAAGATGGCAAGCAAAATTATACAATAATAATTTATATATATAAAAATTTAGATATAAATTAAAAATCAAATGTAATAATTAGTTAAAGTTTAAAGTTTGGGAGCATCTGTCAATAAAACTCAAAAAACCAATAAATAAAAATAAAAACATTTAAAATAAGCAAATAGCTTACCTATAAAAAAGAAATAAGTTAATAACGAAGATACAGCACTGACAGATGCTCCCAAACAACACCAGCAACAAGGCTAAATTTATAGTAGAGAAATCACGCCCCCTAAAACAAAAAAATCAACAGATTTTCTTAGAAAACAAAACACTTTAAATTGATAACATGGTACCAATAAAATTTTAAGAAATAAAGACCTTGTATCGACTTCACAACCAAAAATTTCTTCATGTAGCACTTTAAGACGCTCACATTTAGCCAAAATATGCCAGGCATCCACAATTTCTTTCTCAACACAAAAGTCACACGTATCTCTCGAATAATTATTTTAAAAATTGAATGAATTACACCTTGTCTTAATATATTAAGGGAAACGTCTGGATTATATAAAGAATTATTAAAAAGTGACATTCAAATCCTTATATCAACAATTATATAAGCTATTATTTATTTTTTCATTTATATTGTATAAAAAATAATAAAAAATGTTAACAAGGAGAAGAGATTAGTCGATTAAATTCAAATCATCATTAATAGGATTAATACCATGATTGTTACAGGAATCATGGTATTAATGTTATTAATGATGATTTGACGATAATCATGAAGATTAGAAATTCTAATAATCCAATTTCTTATCCTACTAAATATTATAAATTTTATAAAAGTTAAAGCACATTCTATCATAATTAAATAACCTGGTGTACAATGTGGTAAATAAAATAAGTTTTTAATGAATTCAGTCGGTATACCATTGCAATTAACGCGTTAAGTTCCCAGCAGTTTTTGATATAATTGTAATTAAACATAAAAAATACTTAAACCTGAAAAAAAACGAAAGAAATGCGTTAATTTTGAAGAAAAAGCTTCAAATTTTATTTTTTTTTGACTCGCCTTTCTGTGAAATTTAACACCGATGAGTTATTGTTTACACAGCTGGATGACCTTGAACACAGCTGGAGTCGGATTTCCCGGGACATTCTCATAGAAGTCTCGGGAGGACAAGGGTTTAAAGTAGGGTGACATCGAAATTTGCATATATTTTTAAATATTTTTAAAAAATTACAAATTTTATTGCGATTTCCAACCCCCCCTAATCAATTAAATTAATATAAAATAAAATATATTAATTAAAAAAATTTAAAAACTTTTGGAAATCGTTTTTGACATCAGAAACTAGCTTTAAATAACTTTACCGAAGTAAAATTAGTGCACTACAACTTAGGAACCATGAAATAAAATTGATAGAAAACTCTCATTAAAAAACAATTAAGCGTTAATCGAGCCTTATCAAAGGCTAATTAAAATCGCGATAAAATTTTTTCGCGCGGGCAAAAAATTTTGAAAAAATTTGGGGACCTAAAAAACATTCCAAAAATTCAAAAAAAAAAATTTTTGTCAAAAATGGCTATAAGGACCACGTTTTATGTAAGGCTATCTAGTGTGCCCGAGTTAACTCAAGCGAAGAACTAAACGGGTTAATCAAGTTGAAACCCCAAATCTCTGAAGCATATAACAGAAGGCAACACCACAGTTTTCAATAAACATAAATAATCAGTGAGATTACGAACTTTGGCAGATCTCCCTAACTGAATCACAGGAAAAGTTAATCAAAGAAATCATTCAAAAAAAAAAAAAAAATACGACACAAGATTGGGCTCAAAATACAGCCCTGCTTAACACCAGTCTTAGAAAACATTACTGGCGAGCAATTACCTCCAGCTCTTACCATAAGCGAAGAATTTTCATACAATACAACAAGTAAAGATATAAATCTATAACTAAAACCATAACGCAACATCTTTGACCATAACAAATTCCTACAGACTCTGTCAAACGCAGACGATAAATCAACAAAAAATGCATATACCTTCCTATGTTTCCGTAAAAAAGATTTCTGGATAACCATGTACAAAACAAAAATATTATCCAATGTGGAATAGCTATCCCAGAATCCTGCCTGATTTTCACGCAATACATTTTTAACTTCTAATCGTCGAATCAGTCTTCTATACAAAATAGTACAAAACAATTTCGAAACACATGATGATAACCAGATTCCTCTATAATTACCAGGCACATCCTTCCTACCATTCTTAAAAATCGTAATTAAAATACTCGTCTTTCAAGACTCCGGTATTATCCCAGTATCAAAAATCTTTAAGAAAAGACTCAAAAGATGTGGTCTCAATGTCTCAAAATTCTAGAATTCCATTGGAATCCCGTCAAAACCTGGGGCTTTATTTGGCTTATACCTCCTCAAAGCATCATTAAGCTCACTCATAGAAAATTCATGGTCCAAAAGTTCATCATATCAATTCCTAAAACAATTAAAAATCGAAATATGTGCAAAATAAGAGCCCAAGGAACCAAATAAATTTAAAAAGTGATGCAACCAATCATCAATCATAAAGCTGAAATTACAAGACAGCCTGCTTAACATGTCGGAAATAATTCCAAAAAAGTCTGTTGTCTCTCCTAAAACAACTCTGAATTCTACCAGCAAATAATTTTTTTTTCGCAATGCAAAACCGTTTCGCCAAACTTCGTAACATAACAAAACGTAATCAATCATTAGAATCATTACTCTTCCTAAAACATCTCCAGGCTCTATTCCTTGCACTACTTAACATTCTACAGTCCGAATCGAATCATGAAAAAAAAATTCCTGTTTGGTTTAGTATTAGTGGTTTAGTTTAAATACTAAACCAAACAGGTGTAATATATGAAATTAAATGTACTGTACAGGTAAGAAACCAGCAATATACATTGGCGAAACAGGAAGGCAACTCTGTACCAGAATAAAAACATAAAGCAGCAATTAGACTTAATTATAACCAATCACCATGGACAAATCACTAAGGAATTTAAATGCACAATCAACAAAAGTGTAAAAATAATCCATAAAAAAAAACAGTTATCTATGAAAATTCAAAGAGCACTTCGAAATTGTTAATAAAAGCAAAACCATAAACCTAAATGATGGAATGGAGGTTGACAACGTGTGGGAGGAAATGAGAG